CTTTCTCTCTTCCTCTCCTTTTTCTCTCTCACTTCCCCCCTCCCGCCCCTCCGCCACTCGGTGCGCTGCTCGAATAATTAAGTAGCCTGTAGCCGGCCTGCCGTGAGGTCCGAGAATCGATTAAACCCTTAAAGGGTATCGCCGTTACGACACGTTACGTAATTGTACCGAGGACTGTGGACTGCCCGATCGTTGCAGCCCCGGGATTCGCGGAAATTCTTGGTGGAACGGTTTCCGAAGCGAATACGAATTTAGAATATTTATTCTATCGAGTATTTGCTGGCATTCTTTTTGTCAGAATTTCCATAAGGGTGAAAGTACCTATTACGGAACGGCTTTTAGGACGGATAAGATTACCATCGATTTGATTACAACTTAAAAGTATTATTGTTGAATAATTGTACTACTGTTCGATAGATCGATGTTTCTAAATAACACGTAACGAACTTTGAAATATTTATTTGATATTAATCAAAACCATTACAAATAAAACAGTAAAATACTGAGCGTCTATCTGTGTGGAACACCGTTTTCATACTACGTTACAATGTTTCATAAATCGGAGCAATAACAAGACTGAAGTACACAATATGAAACAGTATGCTCTTGCTTAGAAACACCCGCACTCGAATGTGAACATTTTTATTTACAGCTGATAGAACGTTCTATCTGCTTGTGAAACGAAAGCGTATATTACATTTTTCATAAATTTAATAATATTTATTGTGCAATGTAATTTCCGTCAATTAATAAATATCATTTTTGAAAAATACAGGGTGGGATGTAATTGATGGTACAACCGGCAAGGGGGTGATTCTACATGCAGGAATAAGTCGAAAAGAGGCATAACATTTTTTCATTTAAGGCTCCGTTTTCAAGAAATATTTTAGGTTGAGAAAGTAATACAATTGAGTAGTAACCAAGTGACGCGTCTGATCATGATACACTAATTCTACTTCTCGACACACTACAATCCATACAAACCTGACGCATCTGTCAACTCAGTTTCCTCGAAAACGGAGCCTTAAATGAAAAAAATGTTCCTTTTTCTCAACTTATTAATGAAGCAACAGTAAGCACCGTAAGATGTAAAAACACTTATGCATTCCGCGCAGACACAAAATAGATCCATTTAACACCGAGATTAGACAAAATATTGGGTTGGCAACTAAGTAATTGCCGATTTGTTTAGTGAAATAAAAAATTTTTTTTAGTTGGAATGAAGTAATGTAATGTATTTTCCATTTTGTTCGATGACCTTTTGCCATCTCTCTGACAACTTGAAAATTCCACGCTCGTAGAAAGTCTGATCCTTTTCGGCCAAAAACTGAGTTAAGTGAGATTTTACAGCGTCATCATCATTAAAAGTTTTACCACGAAGGGAGTTGTCCAGGGATCGAAATAAGTGATAATCCGATGGCGCGAGATCAGGGCTATATGGTGGGTGCAACATCAATTCCCAACCAATATCCATCAATTTTTGCCGAGTGGACAAAGACGTGTGCGGCTTAGCATTGTCCTGGTGGAAAATGACACCTTTACGATTGACCAATTCTGGTCGCTTTTCCTTGACCGCTGCATTCAATTTGTCCAGTTGCTAACATTCACGGATAATAAAAAATAACATAATAATAATAATTTTATAATATAACATTTACGGATATCATAAAAATGGGTGTGAGAGACATCTATAACTGAAATCGGCAATTACTTAGTTGCCAACCCAATATAATATTATACTTGAACATATATGTTTGTACATATCGTATTGTATCAGCAGACGCATATTGGCACCGGTCCGACTATCCGATATTTTCGCGAAGAAACAAAATGCGTCACATGATATGAATATTCGTGAGAATGTGGGGTATTTCGCGTCCAAGTGCCGTTTCATATAACCGCTGAACTTCAAAACGTCCACTCTCAGCACTATTCACTGAATACAACAGTGAATTCTCCCTAATTCGCGCTCAGATTGTGCATAAACTACAAAAACTACTAAATTATAATTTTAAAAAATACACTGTTAACCCTTATTTTAGAAGAATAATAGGAGAATAGTCGGTATTTCTTGAGACCTAAAATAATAAGTACTGTAAACGTGTGATAGCCGTTTGAAGTTGATGCTACCTTACGGGGAATCTTTGTGCGGCGTGTACAGTAATGATTGAAAAACGTAAAATGAATTTGTCACGACTTCGAAAAATTGAAGACAAATATTCGTTTCTATCGCGATGATATTCCGCATAAAAATAAAATATCATAAAAAAGATGATAAAAGCGTTGTAATATCTTTGTCTTATCGCGCGCCGTAATGACCGTAAACCGTCCCGTTTGTCCGCGCAAAATAAATGAATTCAATGGAGAATTTAACAATAACTGGTAGCGGCTGTAACGACGTTCACCTTCGACGTGTCTCCCCATTTCCTTTCCTTCCATTCCTTTCCTTTTGTTCGAAGTTATCGCGCTGGTATTAGGAATAATAAAGAAGCACCGGCGAACACAAAGCTGACAAATCGTATAAGTTGATTGTGCCCAATGAAAATTGTATAACATCAATAAACCATTAATGGACGTTAATGCTTCGCACATAACTTGCCGTTAGGTCGTCGCTTTACCTTCGCTGGTGTAGTTTTAGCACCTCGCACATTATGCGTATGCATGTGTGTACGTCCGATATGGTAAAAGTTGAAACGTCGCCACCGAGGTGGCGAACGTCTTTTCCGAGTGAGAAGATCAAAATCGGTTTCGAACGCTCGGTAAGCGGTTACTGGATCATTTTGACCCAGCGTATGCACTTCTAATCGTCATCCAATTATTGTATCGACGGAAATTCGATACAATAATTCGTAACTGCTGTCACGCTACGAACAACCGAATGACTAATAGATCTACGAGAAGAATATTCAAAATTATGTTTTGCAAAATTAATGAACAAAGCTGAGAATTGTTAGAATCCTCGTCAATTGTATAGTTAAAATGGTCCGTCGTCCGAGAGTTAAAATGTAAGTAATTAAAACTAAAAGTTCGTAACATTCAATTTTATGTCATTTTTTAACATTTTTTCGTCCATAAAAATGTAAATATTGGTTTGAATTTTTCAGTATGTAAGTAGACTGCGGATTTTATGCATTTATGGCGAGATTCAATAGTTGTAATTTAAGATAGCAGGCATATTGAGATAATAGAAAAATGTAAATTTTGTTAAGTCTTTCTCAAATATACAGAATGACCCAGCTAAAAGAGACCACCTACAGTGCTGTGAATAATTTATAAACTCGAAGTAACTTTTATATTTTTTACAGATATTTAAACAAGAACCAAAAAAAAAGAACTATATTTATATATCTCTGCATTAGAAACAAAATATATGATATAAATATAGAAATGTGACACATCGTTAAGTTTTTACTTGAATATCACTAAAAGCGTGAAAGTTACTTTGAGTCTATAATTATTCACGTCATTGTACATTCATGAGTTGTTTATTCAATATTTATGTTGTTTAGTTGTTTATTCATAACCTTGACGTAACCGTGATATTCATGAGTTGTTTATTTAATACATGTGTTACTAAATATTACAATAACGCTCGTCAAAAATCAGAATAAATGTCTTATTGTTACTTTTAAAAAACTAATATAAAACAGCTGTATTTCGTGCTCCGTAAATCTAGTGTTAATAAAATAATCGTGTTTAGAGAAGTCGATGAACACCGATCAGTTCGCGCTGGATAAAAGATAACTGTGGCAAAGGAAGTTCATAAATATCGTTCGAGGACACAATCATCAAGACATTGTCTACCTGTTTATCAACTTCCCCAAACATCGTTACTTCAATAATACCGTGTAGGGAAAATGAGTCGACCCGATCGGATAGATCGGTTACCGGGATTTGAATTTGGATCTTTCGCTTGTCGGGCGACTGCTTTAAACAATTAAACTATACCGGCTGACTGACAATACATTCTTTCCTGGTCCTTATGAACACAAAAACACGTCAGAAATCTGCCGACTCCTACGACTTGATTTTTTTCTGAGATATATAAATAATTTTAATTTATTATGTAAAGCAGTTTTCTGTATTTTCTTGTTCTTTCTTGATACCGCGGTTAGTTTTGTATGATTTTTTCTGAGATATATAAATAATTCTAATTTATTATGTAAAGCAGTTTTCTACATTTTCTTGTTCTTTCTTGATACAGCGATTAGCTATAAAACTCGTTCCAGTTTATAGATTATTAAATCAGTCCAGGAAAATTCCTCTTTCTTCTCTTTTTCTTTTCACTGCGTAAATTAACCAGTTGGTGACGAGCATACTCGCCAAACACAGAACAAGTGTCGCCGTTAAAATATTGGAGCAACGAGACAGTTTCATTTTATAAAATTAACAATTTCATTACTAATATCTACTTATCCACTTAACATATATACTGCATACATAATAAACGAAAAACGCAGGGGAAAAATCAAGTACTTATAAAAGTTGAAAATTCAAATCCCTGCTGTAGAGTGGTAACACATTCAGCAAATCAAGGAACGATGCATAATGGCACTTTACACGTCGAACATCAATATCATCATATCATTCATATAATTATTCGTATCTTTTATTTGTTTGTCTCATTCTGGCCTGGCCTCAAAATATTCTAAACATCTTGAAATTTCAGAATATATTTTCGTTTCCACTAAAATTACAATTTAAATAGCCAATGGTCGCTACTTTTTACGCACAACGTGTATACTCGTCAAACATAGCTAATTGGTTAAGCAGCTGTTCAATTTACTTCGATAATAATTAGAAGGATGAATTTCTTTTCTTTCTTTCTCCTTTCATTTGAATCGAGGTCATGTTTATTTCGCGTTAACGGCCGACTAACCGAAATCAAGGCTATCTCTGTTCAAGCTTCGGCGCTCTCGTCCAGCACACGAGCTATGTTATGATAACATAGCTTTTGGAAAATGTTTGGGTGACCGCGGCCCGATGCCCTTTCGAACAGAAATTTTGGCAGGCTGCGATCAGTTACGGACGAGTTGTCGACGCAGCAATATGGGGGAATTTTTCGACAACGATAGTCGTAGCAGTTTTGACGAGATTTTCGAACGTTGCTTAGCCGTAGGCTTAGGGACGGCAGGTCCCGAGGCCTTGTCGCCGGAAGCGCCGCAAACTGTGGACGAGGCCCAGATAAGGGCGCGGATGCGCTTACGGGGGCGTTCTACGACCGCCGAGGAGGTCGGCTACCGGGAAGTGGTGCAAAAAGTCCAGAAGATGAATCGAGAAGCCGAGGCCGAGGCCGAGGCCGAGACTCAAGAGCAACCGGACAGCACGGGAGGGATCTACACCGAGATGATCCATATTGACCCCCACGGAACGTAGGTAAACATGTAATTTCAGAAGTTTCTCGTACCAGTCTCGTATAGTTCGAACACATTTTCGTGGATACACGTTGTAGAGAAATTGCCGCAACATACATGTGTTACGTTTGCTCGACATTTTCATTCCTTATTTGACTTTCTTCATATTGTTACTCGGCGGTAACAGTATCTTCGCTTGTCTATAAAAACATGTGACGCATGTATATATGTATATACATATATATCGATGTTCTTCGATGCTCTCGCATCGCAGAAAACAATTCGCGATTTCGGTCAGAGAGAAACGTTTACGAGGGAAACTTCATTTTGTCCCGTGACGCTTCTGGAAAATCTCAAAATCTACTTTTTATCGTGATTTGCAGAAATAGTCACATAAGATTAGTTAGAATCTATGGGAATGAATTCACGAAGGAATAAATTACTGGAGGAACTAGATAATTTGGGACGAGAAATTGTTCCGATACCGGCTACGATGCGAGCGATCCTAGTAGAGACAGCGAAAAGTAAATGTCCATCATCGCACAACCAGAGAAAATAGTAAAAGAAAGAGTTCGAGTTTTCCTTAATTTTTAATATTAATATTATTATTATTACTATTATTATTATTATTATTATTCAGTTTATAATCGATCTTCGCTCAATTAATTCGGCAAATATATAAAATAGTCGCATGGAAATGCTGTATGTCTGTTTTCTTAAATGATTTGTCAATTCAAAAAGCAAGTCATTTCGACCCCTCCGGTAAAAGTACGTATAAAACGTCGATAGTTCTAGCGTCGACGGAGTACAGACGTTGGGGCAAGATCGTGCGAAACTTCGTGCGAATCGAACAGCGTCAGCGACGAGCTCGTCCGTTCCCGTCGAAGATTCCATGACCGGATGAAAATAGAGATGCATAATAAGTGCTTGAGCGAACACCGGGAGCACCAGTGCGCTTATCGATTAATGCGTAAGGAGCATTTAGAGGGGGGGAGGGAGGGCGGATTCCGCGATCTGGTAAATATTTTCGCAGGCGTTAGTGCAGCGCCGACTAATCGCTCGTAGTTAACGAGAAACGGTGGGACCTTGATGCGCCGGTCGTTCCAGCGATCGCATCATTAAACCGCAGCGCCCTTAATAACGATGAGGTACCGTGCTCGTTGTAACCGCATAACCAGATGGTAAGAACTCGAGTCGCATGCANTAACATAATATAAACTAACATAATATAAACTAACATAATATAAACTAACATAATATAAACTAACATAATATAAACTAACATAACACAAACATCCTTTCTTCGCGGGCACGGTCACAGTTCTCGAAGAGGCAATCGAACATTGCGGTAAATTATGGATACGATAAAGGAAGGTTATTGACGCTCGGTATTATCGTTAATTTAAGGGATATTTATTCGAATGTTGGACAATGGCGGTCGATGTGAGCCAGTTCACACGCGAAAGATCCGGAAACACGGCAGAAGTGATCGAACGAACGCACGACGTCATAAATCAGGGTAGAACAATGAGCCAGTCACGAGGCGAGAAGGAAAGGGAGGAAGAGGGAAAGGGGGAAGATAAGGAGGAAGAGAAGGAGGAGGAGGACGACGACGACGAAGAGTAGGAGGAGTGGGAGGAAGAGTAAGCATAATGGAATTGTGACTTTAATCGGGAGAGACCGTAGGTACTCTATGGTGCTTTTTCCTAGCTGCTAGAAACGTTCGAACAAAATGTTCCCAAGGCACCGGAATCGCGGCTGAATGGTCCAGCAGCACCCCTCTCGGGTTTTCTATTCGCACAGTGACGCAACACAGAACGTACATAGGAACGGCTTAAGCGTATCTGCATTAAACGAGAAGAATGGACGTCCTTCCAACGGTTTACACTTTGACGAAGTGTACACGATGCGGTTCACGCTTTATTCAGGCTCGTAACACACCACCACCATCACCACCACCATCACACCATCACACCATCACCGTCACCGTCATCGCCACCGTTCGGGATCGTGGCCGCGATTATTTGAAAAAATCCAGCAAGTCGAGAGAACCGGTATACGAGCCGAGAACGAGACGACGGAACAAGACTGCAGAACGAAGCGGGGGGAGGAGGAGGAAATCGTTCGTGTTAGATTCCGGCTTACGGAATCAACGGAACTGATCGTGGCCACTGCCGGCCGCCGCCGGGATTATTTCATTTGGAATCGATCGGTTCGAATGGCACCGAATTGATTCACCTAAATCGATCGTTCGATCTCAATTTCAACTCGCTTTCTGCCAGAAGATCGACAAGGGTTCCGATAATTAGACCGCGGAGCTTTGCGCGAAATAAACACTGTCCGCGAAAACTAGGAGCGACTTTTAAATCGATTGGTACGATTCCGATTCAGAGTAGCTGCATGCATAGGAATTTTAAAGCAGACAAAGTTGGTTATGGAACAACTGGCAATTGGGAAACTCTCGGCACGCTACGCGGCGAGTGTCGATGTCGACGTCGATTTTCGCGTCCCTCGTTAGGTTTCTTTTATAAAATTAAACTATTTTTTTGAAGTGAACAATGATTTTTTAAAAATTCAAATTATTTACATTCATTCAAATACGTACAATATTATGGTCATCTGATATTTTGACTAAATATTGCAATGTACACGTGTAAATGTATATGTGCAATATAATATAATGTAGTTATTAATTGTTGTACATGTAACGATGAAACAATCTTATTATGACCCGTTCTTTTGGCGGAAATGAATTCTTCAGTTCTAAACTAGTTATAGAATATCTTGTTAGCGAAACATGTTAACAGTATTGAAAATTCTAAAGAAAACAAAAGACCAAGATCGTTACAAGATATCGAGTGTATTCTGTCGTTTATATTCTTGCTTTCGAGAGTCTCGATATTTTCAACCTTTATCACTCCAATCGACAGTAAAGCCGCCAAGCTTAACCCTTAAATGCATATTGTTGCCAATTGTCTACATTCCAGTTCCACTTAATTTTAATCAGAAACCTGAGTATGTGCGTTTCCGAACACACGTTGATAGCAATAGACAATAGACCATGTGTGAAATAAAAGACTTGACATTACTTTTGGCGAGTAAGTTATATGTTTTTTGACATTTGAATGTGGTGGGTGATAACCTTCAATGTGTTACTTGGAGAGATATTTTCTTTTTTCAAGTTTAAAAATTGCATTGCTTTGCTGCATTTCATTTATAAATAATGCGAAAATTCCTATACTAATAGATAACATAAATACATGACCATTTGTTTACGTCTACAATAATTTTAGTAATAAACGCATATTGTTGCCAAAAGTCTACATACAACTTTTTTTCAAAATAAATACTCAATATTATTACCTAGATTTTCTTATTTATTTTCTACTTAACCTATGACTACATTCCTATAAAAAACGATTTTTTAAAATTCAAAACAAAAAATCATGCATTTAAGGGTTAAAATTTGCATTCTTTCCTTAATAATTTTAGTAGGTCCAAGGTAATATTGTTTGTATATTGTTGGCTTTACGAAATGTTTCTAATCTTTCTTACCGTTTGTCGTTTAAAAAGACATCATTTTTATCATGTATGCATAAAATCCGCAGTAATAAATATCTCATATATAAATGAAAATGTTGAAACAAAAATTTAGAAAGAATAAGAATTTCTGGATGCTATAGCATTCATTTTCATTGCGATGAAAAATGACGCATGATTGCTGTAACATTCGAATTTATAAGCTGTATTATTATGCATTCATTTTTATATAGCGTTTATAGTTTGAAATTATTATGCAGTTTAATGTGAACGGCTCACTGGTTCGTCGAGTATTTGATTTTATTTCGTTTTCTCTTAGTATATGAAAAATATAACTACGAAAATGCGATATTCTGAGACAGAATGTGTCTAATGAAAATTTGGATATCTCAATTAGCTTAAAGAATAAATCACCTGTCTAGTTTTGCAGCTCTTTCAAGTTTTCACTGTCCGCGAACGTGTTAATATCAAGACGTAGTAAAAGTAATCTAAATTAAAAAATATTTCGCTCGGTAAATTTATTAAAATACTTAGCGTAGTACTGGCATGAATTAGCATGGTCTTTAGCTATAGCGATCAAAAATTTGTTTAAGATTGCTTAGTCTTGTTCCGCTCTCTCGAAATTACGATAAACTACGAATTTTATGCATTCATGACAAAATTGGGAAGTCATATTTTTATTTAAAGTATTGCAAAGATTAAAGGAATTTCGAAATGTCGATCTATTATTTTTAATCTATTAAAAGGATTAATGAAAAAATGAACTTCCTATTCAATTTCTATTTCTCGCAATTCATGCAAGATTCGTACAATTTCGTTTGCAAAATTTGGAAGCCGTCGGATAACGGGAACTCGTGCCGCATTTGCTTTAAAGTTTAACAATGTTAACGATTTAACCCTTATCGGCCTAATGTAACGTAATGTCACGTGGGACGCGACATACGTCCGATAAGGGTTAACTCCTCAATGATGGGGTCCGCACGAAATATGGACCTACAGTCAGTCATGAAAGTGTTCGTACACATTTTAAAACGAAACAACATTTTTAAAATTGAATTAAATGACTCGAATCTTTCTTTTATATGATGGAAGGACTAGGCTACTAAACAATGACTAAAATACTTTTTCTTAAATTTTGCTATTCCTGGAAATGACAAAAGAAAAAGAAAAAAAAACTCTCGTCTTGTAACTTCTTTATCTGAATCTAGAAGAAAAATTTAAAAAATGTGTTTCGTAGGTAATGATAACTTATACGTATGCTGAAAAATTGGTCGAAATCGGTTATTTGTTATAAGTTACAACAAATTAAAGACCATAAAAATCGCAGTTTTGTCACGTTTGTGGACACATTCGACCAAAACTTGTAAGAAATCTACGATTTTTTAAATTTTTCAATCTCGAAATTCCGTGTTAATTAGATCCTATATAATTATAAAGCCTAAAAATTAGTTTTCAATTGGTCATTATGTTGTTAAATTGTTCTCAACCAGTCAGCTGTTGCGACGTCGTTGAAACGTGTATATCTAAAATGTGTCGCAATAGGTAACCTAATCCAGACACTGTTTACCGTTTCTTCATAATAATTATTTACAATTCTTTTATTTCGCCGTTTTATTTCATTTTGTCCTCCAAATATTCGAAATATCTTCAAATTTACGTATATATTTCAGTTCTCACTAAAATTGCAATTTAAACAGCAAATTGTAACTGCTATTTATGCACAAAATATTTCCAATTCTCCGTGACGAGTATACTTGTCAAAAACAGTTACCTTGTTAATTAATTATTAATTAGCTCGAATTAGCTGCAAATTAACCATTAAATGTTGATAAACTGGATTTCAAACACCTATAAAACAGTCACCTGGTTAATTAATTACTAATTAGCTCGGATTAGCTGCAAATTAACCATTAAATGTTGATAAACTGGATTTCAAACACCTATAAAACAGTCACCTGGTTAATTAATTACTAATTAGCTCGGATTAGCTGCAAATTAACCATTAAATGTTGATAAACTGGATTTCAAACACCTATAAAACAGTCACCTGGTTAATTAATTACTAATTAGCTCGGATTAGCTGCAAATTAACCATTAAATGTTGATAAACTGGATCTCAAACATCTATAAAACAGTCATCTCGTTAATTAATTA